TTTATGACCCCTTGCCTGCCGCAGTAAACAACTTGTTTTCCTGTGCTTGCAGCTGCTCTGAGCACGAGACCCTCAGGAGTTCCTGATGGCAGGGGAGTGGTTTCAGGTGGGCTTGCAGCTGAAAAATCCTGAGACCTAGGGCGTGGCCATTAGTCAAGGAGAGCCCTATGTAAGCTGCCCTGGACCACAATAAAGTTGGCATCCTTGTTTCAAGAGCGAACCATATCTCGGTGTGTTTTTAAATCCCCAGACCCTTGCCTGATTATAGTTCCAGGTGGTGCAGACGCTACAATTTACTACACTGAACCATCCAATAGGATCTTCTTATTTATTTATTATAAGCAGCTCATCTCACGATGTAGCCCTGGTTGGTCTGGAACTTGCTGTGTAGACAAAGCTGTCTTTGATCTCATAGAAATCTACCTGCCTCTGCCTCCTGGTATTAACTTCTTAAAATTTTCCTTTGAACATAATTTTTATCCTTCTTGGGTAAATAAGAATAGAATTTCTGGGTTATATTATATGGTAAATAGTGTGACTTTTAAGAAAATAGCCAAAGTATTTTCTTTCCTTTTTAAATTTTATTTATTACTAAATTTTTTTTTTATGTCCTGACTGCAGTGTCCCCTCCCTCCTCTCCTCCCATTCCTTCACCCACCTCTCCTTGGCCCTTCCCCCATCCATCCACTCTTTCATTTCTTTTCAGCAAGGGGCAGGCCTCCCATGGGTATCAACAAAGCATGGCATATCAAGTTTCAGTAAGACTCAGCACCTCCCTTGTATTTAGGCTGTGAAAGGCAATCCAGTGTGAAGGATAGGTTCCTAAGAGTCAGCTAAAGTATTAGGGAGAGCCCCTGCTCCCATTGTTAGGAGTACCACAAATAGACCAAGCTACACAACTGTCACATATATGTTGTCTCCAACCCAAGGAAGTTAGTTAGCTACCCCCATGAAAACATAGGCAACAGGTAATCCCACAGCAGCAGAACCCAAAGAACGGAAACATATACACATATACCACCACCACCACCACCAAATAACAGGAATTAACCATCACTGGTCATTAATATTTCTCAATATCATTGGACTCAATTCTTCAATAAAAAGACACAGGCTAACAGAGCAGATATGAAAACAGGATCCATCCTTCTGCTGCATACATAAAACACACCTTAACTTCAAAGACAGACATTACCTCAGAGTAAAGGGTTGGGAAGAGATTTTCCAATTAAGCAAACCTAAGAAGCAAGCTGCTGTGGCCATCCTAATATCTAACAAAATAGACTTCAAACCAAAGATAATCAAAAGAGATGGAGAATGGCATTTCATATTCATCAAAGGACAAATCCACCAAGATAATGTCTCAATTCTGAATGTCTATGCTCCAAATACAAGGGCACTCACATTATTAGAGCTTAAATCAATACTGAATCCCACATATTAATAGTGGGAGACTTCAACACCCCACTCTCATCAATGGACAAGTTGACCAGACAAAAACTAACCAAAAAAAAAATGGATCTAACAGATGTTATGATTCAAATGGATCTAACAGATATCTACAGAGCATTTCACCCAAACACCAAATAATATATCTTCTTCTCAGCATCTCAGTGAACGTTCTCTAAAACTGACCACATACTTGGTCACAAAGCAAGTCTTAGCAGATACAAAAAAATTTGCAATAACCCCCTGTGTCTTATTAGATCACCATGGATTAAAGATGGAGTTTAATAAAGTATTATCTTCTCCTCATTCTTGGTTTTTTTTTTTTTTTTTAAGACAGGGTTTCTCTGTAGCTTTGTAGCCTTCCTGGAACTTCTTCTGTTGACCAGGCTGGCCTCAAGTTTACAGAGATCCACCTGTCTTTGCCTCTTGAGTGCTAGGATTAAAGGCATGTGCCACCACTGCCTGGCTCAACAAAGTATTTTCTAAAACAACTACAACCATGTCATACCCCAGCTAGCAATCTGGAAAGTCAATACTTCTGCCTTGTCCTTGGCAGCAATATTGAATTGCAGTCATTCGAATCAATGTGTAGTGGAATCTTACTGAGTTTGCAACCTGTATATTCTAATGGTTATTGCTATGCATTTTGTTGGGGGAGGTCTTGAGGACCATTCTCAGGCCTGGTGACTTGCTAGGAGGACTCACAGCTCTCAGCATATTGCCTTACAGCTCTAATGATTACACAGAGAGAACTCAGAGAATCTAGCACAAGGGAGAGCTTCTCAGGCTGAAGGCTGCTGAGAACCAGGTGCTAGCTTTCTTGCATTGGCCTTGCAGAAGATCAGCTTAATTCTCCCAACAAATGAAAGACTGTCTGGTAGGGAATCTAAGCAGAGTCAGTTCTTAGGGTTCCTCTCCTCCCCTCCCAACTCTGTCTTTTCTCTTTTGAAGCACAATTAATAAAAACTCAAAGACAGATATTGGGGTTCAACCTGAAGATCAGACAAGCAAAGTAGTCAGCCACTGACTCTTAATTCAACATCCGTTTGAAAATAGTGATTCTGCCTCCAGGAAACCTCAGAATGACACTGAGCCTGCGAGCTTCATGCCAAGGTTTTCATGCCAAACACATTGACCGGATGAGCCATCACCCTGGCCCCTCACCTCCAAATTGAACTGCATAGTCATGAGACATTCTCCACTTTGCAAATCTTCATTTCCTTGGGCTATTTTTTTTTTTTTTTTAGCACTGATTGGTTTGTTCTTGTAGCTCCTGACAAACTCAAAAGGACAGGGAAGAGGTAGGACATCCTGAGGTCTCTTTGCTTATCACAACTATATATTTTTGTCACTGTAATAAAAAAAGCACTCATTACCTGATCATTTTGGATGACAAGGGCCACAGGAAGGTAGTAAGTTGGACAATGAATATTCACCTCTCAAAACTTGGCTTCACTTCCGCTAGCAGGTTCATGAATAGATAGCAAGGTTTAGGTAGCAGTGAAAACAATGCCAGTCTCCAGACCAGCTACTTTGTAAAAACTACATTGTAGACCCTGTCCCTTGACACTGAACAGTGTGTACACATGGTGGCCCTTGTCCTTGGCAATGAACAGTGTGTGCATATGGTGGACCCTGTTCATGGCGATGATCAGTGTGTGTGTACATAGTGGACACTGTCATTACAATGAACAATGTATGTATATGGTGGGACGTCTTCTTGGCAATGAACAGTGTGTGCACATGGTGGACCCTGTCCTTCCAATGAATAATGTGTGCAGGTTTTGGTGTATTTTCCAAAAGCTTTCATTTCTCTCTCTGAAGCCTCCTTCCTTGCCCTATTTCATCGCGCATTCCTACGTTCCCCTTTATCAGAAAGTCAAGAAGTAGCATAACCCAGGTGGGGAAAGCATAAATAGTTAGATACTAAATATTTTAGCTTCTGCGGGAAAAGAGGCAAGATCAGGAATGTTTCTGTAGAATGTGACAAAAATCCAAATCTTTGTAGACAGTGAAATTAGAATGTTATGTTTCACAGATCATGTAATGATACTTTAATTTTTCCAACCATTTAAACCTGTCAAACATTCTTAGCTCAGTGGCCCTACCAACTGGCTACCAGCTGAATGTGGACAGCCGGCAACGATTTGCTGACTTCTCTTCCAGTCTGGCGTGGAAGAAACACCTAAGCCACGGCACACCTAAGCCACGGCACACAACAACTCAACATTCTGCAGCCCACGATTCCTCAGACACTTGCAGACCAGACTGACAATCTGAATTCCAGCCCTCAGACTGGGTGGACAGGGAGACCCAACTTCTGCAGGCTGTTCTCTGACCTCCACGAGAGTCACGGTACACATGGCTCTCACTACCCAGAACCTGCAATAAATCAGTGGAGAAAAGAAGCAATGTTTGAATCCAACCATTCTCCTGCAGAAGTCTACTGTGTACTTTTGTTTGCTTTTGCGAAAGGAAAGGCTATGCAGAACTGATCTTCTTGCCTCATTATCCCAGGTGCTGGGATTCTAGGCACGTGCCACCATCTCCAGCTCTAAAGCAGGGGCCCTTGACCTTCCTTTATCATCCGAACAAGCTGCTGTCTTGTGAAAACATGACTCCCAGAACAAACAGTCTTGTTTATGCTTCTTTGAAATAGAGTGAAGCCTCACTTTGCAACCCAGGCTGGTCTTGAGCTTTTGACAACCCTCCTGCCTCAGCCTGTATGTGGGGATCACAACCTAAGCCATCATGTTGTGCTCAGATTTGGGGTTCTTTGATACTGGAGATTCCAGGGCAAATGTCTGAAGTGGTTTTCAGGACCAGGTTAACTGTTAGGGGAGAGAGGTAAAATCGAATCTTCAAAGCTGTGGTCCTTGAAGTGTGGGCTGTGGTCCAGCACCATTGTCATATCATTAAGAACTTGTAAGAGATGCATGTTTTCTGGAGCCCAGATCTCAGAAACAACAGAAACTCGGGGTGGGGCCTGGCAATCTGGTTTCTCTCGAGCCAGGTGGTTCTGATACTGCTAACATTTGAGAAGCGCCTAATTCCAGGCTTCACTGCCAGCCGCTGGAGCAGCATTGAACCACCTGAGCAATAAAGGGCTGGGCCTCTCATACAGCTTTGTTCTCAAGAATGAAGCAGGGCCTGCGGTTGAGAGCAATTCCAAGATGCCTGGCAGCCAAGACACAGATTTTCCAGAAAGATCTGGGAACGGGACTCAGGGCCAACATTTTGGAGGTCAGGGCATGCATTTCCGTAAGGAGTGTAGTGTGGTCTTAGAGATGGCACGTGCCACCCTGATGTTTCAGTGTCTTTGCATTATGTGACCATGGTATTAATTAACTCGGGGACCCAGAGGCTTTTCAAAGCCCTCTAATGTATCCTCCACCATCCTTCCAAGGTCCAGTGGGAGAGTCCCTGTCTTGGGGGCCAGAGAGGCAGTGGGAGAGGTCTGACCTCACAAGAGGCCCTTGTGATGTCATTGACACCTCAAGATGCCCTTTTCTGTGAAGGTCACAGGGGACTCAGTCCTGGACCCTGCAGCTTGCAGGGGCCAGGCTGCTGGCGGCAGGCGCGTGCTTCCAGCGGCAGAGGTGGGAGGAAGCATGCAGACTTGAGCCGGCCTGGCGAGCTGTCTGTGCTCGGTGCTACTTGTTTGCGCAAGGACAGTTTCAGGAAGGGAATAGACTACAGAATTTTGCAAAAGGGCCACCTAAGTTTTCTTCTGAGCAAAGACAGCATCTATCAAGGTCCTCCAGAAGTGTGCTCGCCGTCCCGCTGCGGTGGTGGGCGCTCCGAAGTGAAGGATGGGGAAGCGGAAATGCATCTGCGATCTGTGCTCCTGCGGGTAAGGCAATCGCCCCCCATCAAGGTCAATCTGAGGAGGGGGCTTGATTTTTACACTCCCTGGGGAACCGAGTCATTTTCTTAGAAGACAGGCAGTGTCTTCATCTTGCTGCCTTCCCAGGCAGCATCACACTGGAGTCTGGTTTCAGGCTGGATCGTTGTCAATTACCATTTGACGCACACCTGTTGAAACAGCATGCCCATGTTCAGTTGTATTTTTTTTTTCCTGTGGTCCTACAGGGTAGAGATTCAGGAACCTTAAGAGTGGACTGGGCCGAGCCTTATCCAGATTGAGGCCAGTATTGTTTCTTGTTAGGTATAGATGGCCAGTCAGTGCTGCGATTTTTAGGACGGGGGAAGAGTTCTTTTTATGTGGGTCGATTTTCCACTCACAGAAATTGGTACTTTGTCTGGGAAGCACAAGGCACTGGTACCAGTTGGTGCAGTGTTGAGGTGGACAAGGGTCACCGGGGAAAGTACTTCACAGTCTCCTGCCCAAGGCCTTGTGGGATGCCTTCTTGTTACCTGCCTGTAGGACCATGCTGAAGTGAAGGATAGTGGAGGCAGGGTTTGGGACAAAGCTTTGGGCTGCTGTCTCTGAGATGATCCTTCTGTCTGTTTTCCCAGGACAATTAGAGGACTGCAGTACTAGACCAGGGGATAAAAGGTTAGAGGGCAGTATGTAAGAGGGTGGACCCCGGAATTGCTCCCCAACCTTCTGGTTCTCAGCTTTGGGGTTAAAGTCTTTGAGTCCTATCTTTGCACAGCAGGAGAGGCCCAAAAATGTGAGCCCGTTTCCACTCTCAAAGGTCAGAGAGTTTCTGCTTGCTCTAAGTTGTTGTCATTCCACCCTGGTGGAAGTTCAGAGAGTTGAAACTTACTTCTCTTCCTTCAGGGTTATTGTCTGTTGCTATCTCAAACAAAGGTCTCACCTAGATTTAGCTCAGAGAGTTCTGCTCTCCAGGTTATTGCCAACAGGTGTGTCTAATAGCCAGCCCTTATACTTCAGGTATGGAAAAAGTGGAACTGTTTCTACCTCAAACAAAAGTCTAAGGACCCAACTAAGTTTCTACTCCTTTAGGGAGATAACAATGGATTCCATCCAGGGAGTGCTTTGCCTACAGAATGTTTTGGTCTAGGGTGTAAGTGTTACTTGGCTTGTTCTAGCAACAGAATGTAGCTTGCAACCTTCAACTGGTATGTTCATTTCCTTGTATCATGTTAATGCAGCTTTTTTTTTTTTAAATCTTACTCCTGCCTTTTGAGGAATTTTAAGTAAATGGAAATTAAACACGGGTGATTCAGTATCACTGGAACTCCCTCCTGGCACCATCCTGTTTCTGTTTATTATTTTCACTCATGTCTTTGCTCCTTTTACTTATTTTTCTAATCTGCATGCTCCTACCCTGGTAAATGGTATTATTTGTCAAAGCTGGTCTCTGACACACAGCGTGCAGTCTAGGTAGGAAGGCAGGACACACTGGAGAGGCTCAGGATATGCAATCAGATGCCACCCCACCCACCTCCTATTTGGTGTCTGTCTCGGACGGATGCTGTTTTCTCTTCACCCTGCAGAGTTGCTTCTTCCATTGGGTGTGAAGTCTCTCTGGTCTTTCTTCTTGCCTCCTCCTGTGTCTGTTCCTTTCCTTTATGGTCTGTCAAGTGCCTCTGCTCTGATCCTCATGTCGGTCAGCCTTCCCTCCTGACTTGTAGTCTTTCTAGTTTTTTCTCCTGTGGGTTTTATTTTTAAATTGATTTTTACTAAGCTCTACATTCTTCTCTGCTCCCATCCCTGCCTCTCCCTTCCCCTTCAACCCTCTCCCAAGGTCCCCATGCCCCCAATTCACCCAGGAGATCCCGTCTTGCTCTATTACCCTTGTCTCTTAGATCCATGCATGTCTCTTCCAGGGTCCTCACTGCTGTCTAGGTTCTTTGAGATTGTGATTTGTAGGATTTTTTTTTTCTTTATGTTGAAAAACCACCTATGAGTGAGCACATGTGACAATTATCCCTCTGGGTTCAGTCATTTTGGGTCACCTCACCCAAAATGATGCTTTCTAGCTCCATCCTGTAAAACTCAAGATGTCCTTAATTTTTCTGCTGCGTAGCACATGTCCTTGTTGCACGATTGAGCATCCATTGGATATATACCCAAAAGTGGTTTTACTGGGTCTTGAGGAAGGTTGTCTCCCAATTTTCTGAGAAATTGTCACACTGACATCCAAAGGGGCTGTACCAGCTTGCATTCCCACCAGCGATGCAGGAGTGTTCGGCTTACCCCACAACCTCTCCAGCATAAGATGTCATTAGTATTTTTGATCCTGGTCATTCTTACAGGTGTGAGATGGAATCTCAGAGCTGCTTTGATTTGCATTTCTCTGATGACTAAGGATGTTGAACATTTCCTTAAGTATCTTTCAGCCATTTTAGATTCCTCTGTTGACAGTTCTCTGTTTAGGTCTGTACTCCATTTTTTTTTATTGGATTTTGGTGACCAGTTTCTTGAGTTCTTTTTATATTTTGGAGATCAGACTTCTATCTAATGTGGGTTAGTGAACATCTTCTCTCATCAGGTTGTGATTTTGTCTTGTTGATTGTGTCCTTTGCTTTACAGAAGCTTTTCAGTTTCAGGAGGTTTCATCTATTAGTTGTTTCTCTCAGTGTCTGTGCTACCGGGGTTATACCTAGGAAGTGGTCTCCTGTGCCAATGCGTTCAAGTGTACTTCCCATTTTCTTTTATATAAGGTCCAGTGTGCTTGACTTATGTTGAGGTTTTTGATCCATTTGGACTTGAGTTGTGCACGATGATAGATATGGGTCTATTTTCATTCCTGTACATGTTGATATCCAGTTATACCAACACCATTTGTTGAATATGCTTTCTTTATTCCATTTGATATTTTTTGCTTCATTGACAAAAACCAGATGTTCAAAGATGTGCGGATTGATATCTGGGTCTTCTATTCAGTTCCATTGGTCCTCCTGTCTGTTCTTATGCCAATACCAGGCTGTTTTCAGTATGGTAGCTCTGTAGTAAAGTTTGAAGTCAGAGATTGTGATGCCTCCAGAAGTTCTTTTATTGTACAGGATTGTTATGCTATCTTGGGTTTTTCGCTTTTTCATATGAAGTTGAGTATCGTTCTTTTGAGGTCTTTGAAGAATTTTGCTGGGATTTTGATGGGCATTGCATTTAATCTGTAGATTGCTTTTGGTAAGATCGCCATTTTTATGATGTTAATTCTGCCTACCCAAGAGCATGGGAGATCTTTCCACTTTCTGGTGTCTTCTTCAATTTCTTTCTTCAAAGATTTAAAGTTCTTGTCGTACAAGTCTTCCACTTGTTTGGTTAGAGTTACTCCGAGATATTTTATGCCATTTGTGGCTATTGCTCTGATTTTTTCCCCAGCCCTTTTATCATTTGTGTACTGAAGGGCTACTGATTTTTTAAGTTAATCTTGTATCCTGCTACATTACTAAAAGTGTTTGAGTTGTCGAAGCTCCTTGGTAGAATTTTTGGGATCACTTATGTAAACTATCATATCATCAGCAAACAACGAGAGTTTGACTTCTTCTTTTCCAATTTGTATCCCCTTGATCTCCTTTTGGTGTCTTATTGCTCTAGCTAGGACCTCAAGAACTATATTGAATAGATATGGAGAGAGTGGACAACCTTGTCTTGTTCCTGATTTCAGTGGAATCGCTGGGAGTTTCCCTCCATTTAGTTTGATATTGGCTGTTGGCTTACTGTATATTGCCTTAATTATGTTTAGGTATGTACCTTGTATCCCTGCTCTCTCCAAGACCTTTATCATGAAGGGATGTTGTATTTTGTCAAAAGCTTTTACGCCATCTAATGAGATAATTATGTGGTTTTTATTTTTCAGCTTGTTTATATGGTGGATTATGTTGACAGATTTTTGTATGTTGAACCATCCCTGCATCTGTGGGATGAAGCCGACTTGATTATGGTGGATGATGGTTCTGATGTGTTCTTGGATTTGATTTGCCAGTATTTCACTTAGTATTTTTGCATCGATGTTCCTGAGTGAGATTGGTAATTCTCTTTCTTAGTAATGTCTTTCTGTGGTTTGGGTATCAGGATAATTGTAGCCTCATTAAAAAGAGTTTGGCAATGTTCCTTCTGTTTCAAATGTGTGGAATAATTTGAGGAGTGTTGGTATTAGTTCTTTTTTGAAAGTCTTGTAGAATTCTGAGCTGAAACCATCTGGTCCTGGGCTTTTTTTGGTTGGGAGCCTTTTGATGACTGTTTCTATTTCTTCAGCAGTTATAGCTCTGTTTAATTTGCTGTCTAGTTCTCTTGGGTGAGTTTGCTTCTTTTTGTTCTGATATTTTCAAATATTTTGTTAATTCACTAGTGTGGGCTTTTTCCAGCTTCTCTATGTAGGCATTTAGTGCTATGAACTTTCCTCTTAACACTGCTTTCATTGTGTCCCATAAATTTGGGTATGTTGTGTGGTCATTTTCATTGAATTTTAGGAAGTCTTTGATTTCTCCCTCCATTTCTTCTTTGACCCATGATGATTCAGGTGAGCATTGTTTAATTTCCATGTGTCTATAGGCTTTTTGAAATTAGTATTGCTGTTGAATTCTAGTTTTAAACCATGGTGATCTGATAAGATACATGGGGTTAGTCCAAGTTTTTCATATTTGTTGAGGTTTGGTTTATTACCGAATATGTGGTCAATATTTGAGAAGGTTCCATGAGGTGCTGAGAAGAAGGTATATTCTTTTCTGTTTGGATGGAATAGTCTATAGATGTCTGTTAAGTCCATTTGTGTCACAACATTTGTCAATTCCCTTACTTCTCTAGTTTTTGTCTGTCTGACTTGTCCAGTGGCAAGAGTAGCGTGTTGAAGTCTCCTACTATTAGTGTGTGTGCTTTAATGTATTATTTAAGCTTTAGAAGTGTTTCTTTTACATATGAGGGTGCCCTTCCTTTTGGGACATAGATGTTCAGCATTGAGATTTCCTCCTGATGGA